TTATATTGTCCGTCTGCGTTTTGCCTGCCTTACCTGTAATTGAATCCCGTATTCCCCGATACCCTGACATCTGTGCCTTTATCTCCGTTCCGTCCCGGCTTGGCACGAAAATTTTATTATAATTAAATGTATTAATGGTTTATTATTAATATTAAAATAATTAATAAGAAATCTTTATTTAAAAATGTATTTTGTTATATAATAATTACTGTTACTGTCTATCATTGTCTAAATGTATTTTTACTGTCTTAATATATGTATTTGGCTTGTGTAAACATGCACGATGCTATCACAGCAAATGCGAGGCTGAGACTGAAGCTTTACCCTTTGTTTCCGCTGAGAGACGTGCTGCGTGACTCATTTCCCCACGCATACAAGTTGTCTTAGGTCAGCGTTCAAGGTTTGACTTCTGAGATTCAGATAGAGTACTAGGTAATTTTTTTCCGAACTGGTTGGTTCGACTTTTAAGAAATTCAAGTTCTAATGAGTTCAAGAACTGAGGTGCCACTGTACTCATTGTAGTTGGGTGGAACCACTCTCTATGATTCAATTGAGTTCTTTCAAAGTAACTTTTTTGACTGTGGTTGGTTGAAACAAAACCTTGGTCTGCATTTGTACTTTTTGGTTCTTAACATTCCACCTCTGACTGCAATGGATTACTTCTGTGAGTAACTTCCCCAACACTATTAACCAGATGGGTCCTGTTCAGTGGTGGTTTCTTAAAGACAACAGGTGAAGCAGAGATGTCTGGGTCTACAGGAGCTGGCATTTAGGAACACTAGTGAAATGCAATGAACAAACTACTTCTTTTATATTTGTCTTGGTCTCTGATTAAACATAATAATACAATGACATTAAAGAACGAATTTCTAGATTCGTAGAGGAAGTCAAAATAACAAGATGGCACATCCTAATACACAGTCAAAACATTTAGATTTAAGTCTCAGTTAGAGTGACAACACTGACAGTTTAGTTCAAAGCCAATGGCACTGATCTCCACCTAGCTCTGCGCCTCACACTCTATGCCTAACTGAGGGAAAGCAATTAGCTAAAGCTAGAACTACAACTAGAGTGCCTATAAGCTGGACTAACCAAATGTGATTTTTGTCTAGACTTGAATGATGAGAGTGAGCCTGAATCTCGCAAATCTGCTGGAAGACTATTCCATAGCTGAGGAGCTCTATAAGAGAACGCTCTGCAGCATGCTGTAGTCCTTTCTACTCTAGGTTCTAATAGATATTCTGCTCCTTGAGATTGAAGCAAGCGAGAATGGTTGTAAGAGACCACCAGATCTCTAAGATGTTTCGGTGCAAGGCCATTCAGTACTTTATAAGTTGATATTAGTATATTGTAATTAATCCGAGACTTAACTGGAAGCCAGTGCAGGGAGCATAAACAGCTAACATCATCAGTTTTTTTTTAAAAAATTGTAAGATCCCTGGCTGCTGCCTTCTGTAACAGCTGAAGGATCCAGACAGACAACCAGAAAGGAGGGCATTAAAGTAGTCCAGTCTTGAAGTTATAAAGGCATGTATTATTTTTTCTGCATCATAAAAGGAGAGCATCTTCCAAAGCTTGGCTATGTTCCATAGATGGTAGAACACATTTCTAGTAATACTTCTTATGTGAGCATCAAAACATAGATCTGAATCAACCAGGACACCAAGATCTCTGAACACAATGTTAGACTGAGTAAGAAGACCACTAAAGATTAGGTCGTAAAACTTATTTCGAGCAGCCTCAGGATCAACTAGCAGTACTTGTTTTCTCTGGGTTTAAAATTTTTGCCATCCAACACCAGATGTCTAGTAGACAGTCTTCTAACCCAAAGAGCTGGGATGCATCATCTGGTTTAACAGATATGTATAACTGTGTATCTGTGTACACTGACTGATATAACAAACCATCACACCCCTACTGATCTGAAGCTTGTGTTTTATTTTGTTTATATTGATTGGTGGCTGAACTTGTTACAATATTATGGCATTATTCTTTTTTTAAACTGTAGCCTGTTGTTGTATTTGATATTTAAGTTGGTGCACTTTTTTTTAGTACCTTAATTTTACTTCTTTTACCTTTTCTTATTTCTTTTACTTTATCTTATTTACTTCACTATTAATTATTGTTTATTATGTTTCTTTGTTCAATTGGGTTAACCGGGACCGTGTGTACACAATTTCGTTCCACCTCATGCAAATGTGGTGCGAATGACAATAAACTTCCTTGACTTGACTTGACTTGACTTGAAGTGAAGGAATTAGTGATTCTAAGATTTTTTAAAATTTGGTTAACAGCAAAATCAGTCGAATCAGGGTGTGTAAGAGTGCACTTTGGTCAGGTTATCTTTTTGCATCAGTTTTCTTTTGTAATCTCATTGAGAAAAGAAAGGCAGTCATGCAGTTCCTAAATATTTAACATTACTGCAGGAGTTCATCTGCAAAGCTACGAAAACAACTATTATAACATGCTGTAGATTAAACAATGACAATGGCTCCACTCCTTATACAGCCTGACCTGCCTGATAGCATATGACAGTTATCTTATACTTTATATGGATTAACTACAACATAGTTAAATAACATGGTACTTAGGTTAACCTGGTTAACTATAATGTCAAAAAAGTTTTATCTTTACCAATGACACAGTTATTATGTTGCTTAACCAAAAACATTGCACAATCATCAGATAATTCAGATAGTACTTCTAATACTGCATTGTAAATACAAAACTGTATTTAATTCAGTCTGGTTACAAAAATAGATGCACAGACGCTATTTTAACTTTCTTTTGTCTATTTTTTATTGGTAACACAGAAGAAATAAAACTAAATTTATGAATGCAAGTGGCATAATAAAGATAAGTTCCCAGTAAAACTACTATGAAAATACTATGTGCCTGATGAGTTTATGATAATGGATGCATC